CAAGGTAAACTAGGTGAGGTCAGTCACAGGGTGGTGGGGGAGGAGAGCGTTGACCTTAGTTTGCCTCATTGTAAACACTGTAAGTGCCTTGTCTCCACTTAAGGTTTTACAATGAGATAACTATCACCTCTTAGTTAACTCGCTGCCAATAAAACAACAAAAACACAACAACAACAACTTTGTGTCAGTGAAGACAAAGCCTTATGGCAGGTCTATACTACCACTTAAGTTGATCTAACTTGCGTCACTCAGGGCTATGAAATAGACCCCTCTCCGAGCAACGGAAGTTAAAGCGAACTAAGTGCTGTCCACACTGGCCCTATGTCAACGGGAAACACTCTCCCACCGACATCGCTTCCACCTCTCGCGGAGGTGGAATAATTATGCCGACGGGAGAGCACGCTCCCATCGGCATAGAGCGTCTTCATCGGACAGTGGCGCAGCTGCTTTGATGTAGTGCTTCTAGTGTGGACCTGCCCTAAAATAACCTTCATGCATCTCCAGCAGTTCCATCTCATTAATGTCTATAAACGCTAGCAGGATTTACTCTTAATCACGCAATGGCTATGTGTAAATTTCAGCCTTTGTGTAGCTACATGCTATCCCCAGAAAAAGATGTACGCTTGGCTCTCTGCTGTTTCAGACATTATTCAGCACTAACTCAGATTTGATTCCACACTGGGCAGGTGGAAAGCAGTGCATTTTTATACACAGTGCTGTGTTGCAGAGCAGCTTGGAAGGCACAGAGCTCATGCAATCAAGTGCTCCTCCTTTGGTGGTATGGTTGTGCATTCAGGATTTGCAGAAAACCAGATATTATGCTACACATATTTGTATTTATGATTTTCACTGATGTTTTTCATGGTCAGTTTATACTTCCTCCTGGAATGAAAATACAGTGAGATCATGAGAACTCTTGTTACTTAGAGCATGTAAATGGACCCCTGCAGCACTATAAAAACTCATGAAAATCCTACCCAGAAATACACATACTAGTACTTGTGTGCACTCCCTTATTTGATGGATCAGAGCTCCTTGCACTAGTTCAATTTGGGGGATATCCCCCTGTCTACAAACCCACATAAGTGTCTGCCTGTTACAGAATATCTTCTCTATGTTGCCTCAAATAGAGGGCTGGGCTTAGCCACCTGTCTTATAAAAGCTTTCCTGAAAAATGTACTAACCTGGATTAACTACCATAGAAACGTGTCCTTATTCATTGGTGGCCTCGTTGCCTCCTTGATCATTAATTGTTTTGAGGGGATCTATGTAGTTCAATGTCTGTCCATGGAAACTACATCCTGGAGGTGTACTCATTTCTCTGCTACTTTTAGAAAAGTTTGCACAGGGTATGCCTTCTCACCTCCTCAGCAGTGTTTCTGAAGTGGTATACATGGTTAAATGGGCTAGGAACAGTGACTGACTGGATCTGGGCAGAGATTGAAAAATGGAGGAACTGCATAATTCTGAATGGCATGTTCAGAATCCATAACAAAGGGGAATATCCTTTAAAAATTCTATTTCCTGCATCACACTTGAGCTATGAAGTTGCAGTACCAAGAAAGACCCTATAACCCCATGTGACATCTATGAAATGTCTCTGCCTCTTTGAAGCTTTCTTAAGGAACAGGGATGTAGTATACTAGGTGCTCTATTAATAGCTGTAAGTAAAAAACATATTGAACACCAGAATATTTCTAGGTGTACATTTAGGACATAAATGTGTATTTACACACTAGATATACTTAGAGATCTATACAAGGCCTGTCAGCCCTATTCCTATTGCCTTGGATTGGTCATTTAGCAAATTATTGTACCCGTGAATGGTTTATGTCATAAAGATAATGAACATGAAGTAACACTATATATATTTTTTATAGGTAAATCCAACTAATCATAGACTCCTGTTCGAAGTGTTTGACGAAAACAGATTGGTGAGTGTTCTACTGTATTCCCCTTTGTGTGTGTTTTATTAATCACACAGCTAAATATGGAAGTAACATAGCTCCTGAATCTTAGTTCCTGGAAATTTGGCATACCTTAAATTAAAGTTTATTTTGTTTCAGTGGTGTAAATATGTACACTAAGGAAAGTCAAGTGAGGTATATAAAGCAGGAAATTTGGCTAGTTTATTGGCTGAACATTCATAACACTCATCTTGAGCCAAAGTTATCTTATGCAGTGGGGACATTTCGGGAAGGCATAATGCAATTACTTAGTTTTTTTAAAACTTCTTTGCCATTTTTGATAAGATTAAATAGGTGTCTAAACAAAAATCTCTAAGGTCTGATTTTGGATATAGTTGATGTAAGACATCAATATAATCACAATTTATAAATGTACTTTGAGGAAATTTTAAAAAGCAGTATTAGTGGAATAGCATACGGTGTGACCCACTAACCGTATATTTATGAACACTTTTATAATAGAGGATGTGGCGCTATAGCACAAAATATTCGGTTCCTTCAGATTAGTTAAGTACAGTACGTCTCTACCAAACTTGCTTACTATATTGTGGGAAAATTTGCCAGATATATTTTGGGTAGTTTGAATATCCTTTTGTTAATTAAAAAAAACATCTCTCATTAAGAGGTATGTTTTTTTTTCTTTCAGCTCCATCAAAGCAAATGTTAACATAATGCAAGGAAAAAGATATAAACTCTGTGTAGGTAACCTTTTTCAGGGGGGAAAAAATCTAGAGGGCCACTCATGTAATGTTGTGAGGAAGTACAGTAACAAATCCGTGGCAGGGTGGCAACATATATGGAGACTCTGTGGTCAGTATACTGAGAGGCATTTAATCTGTTTCACAAACCCAGGCCTCTACCATTTGAACTAGTGGAGAATCTTGATTAACTTTTGCTAGTTTTAGCTTATTATCCTCTTTGCCGGCCAGCCGGCAGAGTGGAATAATATCAGAAAACTTGAACGAGTTTTATGTGAACCAGCAGAGGGTAGTGATGTGCACAGTCAAACCAATATGTGACAGTATAGTGGTGGTCGTTAAAAAGAGATTTTTTAACCATTACCACATAGGGACATCTGAGAGGTGGCAATTTCCCTTCTCTCATACTAGTGTGTGGTAACTGTGCACCCTTTTATTTTGAGCCAATATATGTATTAAAAAAGAGCACTTATGGTTAAATATATATTAGGATTCCAGGTTATGTGCCTAGAATGAGGGAGTATTGAATTGATTACTCTAAGATTAATTTCTGTAGCATGACTATATTTTTAGGATCCAAAACAGCTTACTATGTTTGTCTGTTTTCTGTTACAATTTATGCTGGGAATAAATACCTACTTGTAAAGCTTACGTTTGTAAGATTTGCCCCAAGAATAATTTTCTTGCTTGTTCATCTCGTTCCTAAACCACCAGAGAGTTGTTCGAGATTGCAGTAGGTTCCCCCCAATCCTTGCCACAACAGAGACTGTGGATGCAAATTTAGTCTTAGAAGAAAAGAGAGACTTGCTTACTTAAATAGCACAGAAACATGCTGTTGTCTGAAAAGTGTATTAAAATAATTCTAACACCTGTGCTTGCACAAGGCAATCTACAGTGCTGTTACTGTGTAGCAAATACCCATGTTTTTCTCATTGTTGGCTCATAGTCCGGTTAAAACAATAGAGGATTGTACTGGCCCTTGGCAGTTTTATCGTTTAAACCAGCTTCAATTTCTCTTGTACTTGGTTGTTTTCTGCATTTGAAAACAAGCTGTTGTAAAACAGTGGTTTAAATGTCTAGATGTAGTATTGACCCTACACCTACAAGTCAGTGTAGAGCTGTTGAAAAAACTAATTCTTTGGAGCTTTCATAGGACCAAGTTGCCACTCGTTGAATTGAATTAGTTTGTCTCTCTTTTGTAGAGAAACTTTTTGTTTAAACGGATGTTGTTTCTGATTCATGCAAAAATGTTCTAAAACTTCAGTGCACCTCAGCTGTGACAGCCCCTTTTTAAACACTGAGATTCTGCAATGTGGCAGGGCTGAATTGGGATGTTTACTTTAATTTTTGGTTGTATCCCATATGTTCTTCTTTTGAAATCTTTTGGCTCTTAGCAAGCATAGCTATACTCCATGCTGGCAATCGGACGGGAATATTGCTAACTTTCTCATTGGAAGGCTGCCAGCGTTGGGCAGTGTTTCTGTACGGCGCTTAAGTCAAATCATTACAAAACTACATGCATACACTTCTTCAGTTTTCGCTCGTCTTTGCTGCCTGGTAAAACTGAAAAAGAAACTGTCTCCTGCCATCTTGTTCATTTCTGCTGCTATCCTTGTCTGAGAAGTCTTTGTCATATGTAAGGTTTTTTTGTTGCAATTTCTAAGGGAAGAAAAGGATCTGTATGTAGGATGAGTAGGTTATGCTGTGTTTACCGTGGTAATGTGAAAGTTGTGGATTTTTTCCAGAGTGAATAGTTTGTTACTTAATCTTTTAAAGAACCAGTGAAAAAATTCTAGAGTATAACCATGGACTAATATTTATTTATGTTCTACCATGGTAGTCTAATGCTGTAGCATTAGGGGGTTGACAGATGAAGCCTGAATTTGTCTACTTGAACCAGTTTTGTTCTTCTCAATCTGCATTGTGAAGTCCACTTGAACTTTTAACACTTAAAGTGCTTTTGTGGCAGTTAACATTTTTGCACAAAAGTGCTCTGTGAATGTGATGTGGCTTAGATTTATAGCAGTGCCGAGTGTGCTTGCTGCCTTAGTCAGCTGTGAGACCTCTCCCGCGGGGGCAGCTCTTTTCTGATGGAAAAGGAGCAGCTGTGAAGGTGCTGTTTCAGGCTCTTGCTGGTATTAAAAAAAAAAAAAAAAAAAAAAAACCACACACACACAACTAACTTGCAGTGGAGAGGGGGAACCAGATCATGTGACTCCAACCATCCTACCCTATGTCACAGTGTGTAGGAGCGCTGATTGCTCTTATCCAATCATGCCTGGAATGCTGCTTGCCACTTGGGCTATTTCTGCTATCTGTCGCTATCAGTGCTGCAGTGCTAACAGTTTGGCAGATGGGACACTTTTTCTTGGAGTTTGTCTTTGTTTTTTAACTTCTGGCAGTGCCTGAATTGTTGCTGTTCTCCCTCTCTCCCTTTCTTCTCTTTGTTAAACCATGGCCCATCGGCTGCGGTTTCATTTTGGCTCTGGACGAAGCAACACGGCCCCTGAATCTGAGATCCTAGACCGAGAGAGAGAAGATGACTTTTTCATGGCATTCCACACTTTGCCAAGAAGAAACAGTCCTCATCCTTTCTCCCGACATGGAGCGGATTATGGTGGCGGTGATTTGCAAGAAGTGGGCTCCTTAAAAAGAAGCACATCGATGTTTATTCCTCAGCTGCTGAACAATATTGATGTGCGTCCAACAAGGAGCTCATCTATGCAGATCTCTCTTCAGCGCAAAGCTGTGAACGGCTGTGCTGATGAGTGTGGAGCCCCAGAGTCTCCTGAGGAGACTCTTCCATGTAAATTCTCAGACTTCGGGGAGCATTACACGTGCCCAGTTGACAGCCATTCTTTTTCTTCAAGCAGTCCACAAGTAACCCCAGAGAATTCTCCGCCCAGGATGCCTGAAGAGACTGGGCAACGGCTTAATGGAGCTGTTTCCTGTAATCACAGAATATTTTGTACAATTCCTTCCAATAACCAGAATGATGATGTTGCAACGACTGCCGAAGAAGATGAAGCAAGTGAAGTGGCTTCAGGGTTAAACATAAGTGGTGTAAGAATTCAGCATCGCGCTTCAAGCGCAGATATGCGTCAGGTTATGCTATCGCCCTTTGGTTCCGAGGTTCAGGATAACGCCCCTGCCTCTGAACCCAGACGCTGGTCTTTGCAGCATCTGCCAGACATGTCAGCAAATTCAGGAAAAAAGTTGTTTGTTTTCCAGTTGCAGCAATCACAGGCAAGTGGTCCAGGTACAGAAAGCGACTATAATTTTGGTTTTACTGGCACAAAAGGGAATAGATTGGTCAGGTATCCTCGCATACGGCTGGAGAGGAGTACTTCCTACCCTGTCCAGCCGCGACCAGAACGAATTAGCCTTGTAGAAGACGGAGGGAATTCAGAACTGCATGGAAATAGCAGAAATGGGTCAGAAATATCTAGAAGCAATTCGGTAGAGAGGATTCCTCAAGGGCAGGGATGCTTGTTTAAAATCAGACCAGATCAAAACACAAGGCAGCAACACTTCAGAATTCTTGTAACCCGTGGTACTGAAGAACAAAATCAAGTTCCTGATGAAGACAGCCCTGATACCTCTGGGCCTACAGTGACCAGTGCCACAGTAAGTAACATGCTGAAAATGCTTCCCCTTGTGTTCCAGCAAAATGTAAATGGTAACATAGAAAAGCTTCTGAATTCTAGGTAACTAAAGAATTTCACTCATTAATACTGGTAAGATCTACATTTCTCTGGAACAATCTGTAAAGCATCCCTAACTCTAACCTAAAATAGTTTTGCTTCCAGTGATGATTACATCCAGTGCAATGTTTTGTTGAAGTCCTAATGTCTCACATGTTGCTTAACTCAGTGTTACGTCAGCTGAAGAGTTTTAACAAATTGGAAAGCCCAAGTGTTACTATTTGCTCTTATTTCTTCATGAGTTTGCTAAGTCCTTGCTGTACAAAGAATTACATTTTTGAAACAAATGCTTTAATGCTTTCCATATTATTTTAAAATATATATAAAAATGAAATTTAAATATACTAGCAGTTCAGGACTTTGTGGGGACAGAAATCGGTAAAGAAACCAATTTTGTTTTCTCAGTACCAAGTGGTGAGAATTGTTTTATTTCAAAGAATACTTTTGCTCTTGACCTTCTTTAAAATAAAAACTTTTCACTTTGTCGTTTCAGTCTCATATGAAATGTGATCAAACTACTGTAAATGCAATTTAGGCATAATTTACAATATCTTATAATATAGCTTTGGTATGAAAGATGATCTAAAATCTTCTTATACTGCCTATTTCTCACGTAATATGAGAGAGAGAGATGAAGTTCTATAATGTTTTTTGAAACATACTTTATAGGCCCATGCGTGGATAAAACTTACAGGGGCATGGAGAGTCATTTGCTTGAATTGCTTTGCCGTGCAATTTAACACTGCCCACTTGAGTTTCTAAGCTCAATGATGCTGTATATAGAATAGTAAGTACCCTATCTCCAGCTGTGAAAACAGACTCACAAGATCAGCTTTTGGTCTTTATTGCTTGTGTGTGTTCTCATTCTCTCGTGGTCTCTTTCAGTGAAATGTAGTATAGAAAGACAGCTGCTAAATACAGTAAGACCATATGATGACTCTGCAGCTTTTATAGCAAAAACTAACTGTGAAAGTTATTCCAAGATAACTTTCTTTTTAGCACGTCAGTATACATTTTTAACACATGGACATGAATAACTAGCCCTCACAGCCTTTGTGGGGAAAATTCTTCTCTTCTGCTATATACCATATTACACCCTTTCTGTATAAATTGCTAAATGTGTTTGCTGTCAGCCTTTGAATATTTTACATTCAGAGTATTCCTGCTGAAAACACCTCTAGTTCTTTTGTTTGGATTTCACTATCACACTCAACAATATGTTAAAAGATTTGTTCTTTCATTTAAAATATTTTTTTTTGAGAAGTTTTTATCTTGTTTACATTAGAGTTAGGCCTTGAAGTGTAAACTTCTTATCTGGACACAGATTTTCCTGAAGACTTTAGGATGTTTGAATCCTGGATTTTGGGAGAAAAAGAGCCACTGTGAAGTTTTACTCCAGTTTTAACTTTTCCAAAGTTTGGGATTATTTACATCCACAATTTTGGTTCAGGCCCGTCTCTTCTCTTCTACAAGTACAGTTGATATTCTTTAGACACCCTCACCCAACATCCAGTGGATTGCACATAGCTCTTCATCTTAAACCATTACTCCACATCACCCAAGTCCTATGTCTAAACTGCCATTTTCCACTCATTATCCCTGGTTCATTTCCAGCACTGTAAATATTATATAAATGTTTCCATAAATCACAGTGGAAGAAGATTTGGACACAATCAGATTTGTGTAACTTCCCAAAAGGTTGTTCATCCCCACTTCATTGTCCCTGCAACAGTGCCCATTTCTGTTTAACTGGAGAAAAGAATCCCTGATATCTCTCCTGAACTTGGCCTCCATTAAACAGTAAATTTATGTTTTGGGGTATAAATTTATAGATTTTCTAAACCAGTTATGCTGCTTGCTACTGAGTGAACCCTTGGCAATCCGTTTTAGCCCCACATAAAGTTAGTCAGTGAGTCGTGTACCTTGCCAGTTGCAAAGGCACTCAATCTAAACAGGATTTAAAATCTTTATTGCAAATAGGTTTCCTTAATTAAGACTTTTTTAAAGATATATCCTACTTTCTTCACATTATTTCTAGTGAGCCCAGAAATGTTCTGGGTGGAGGCAGCTTACTAGGCACATTTACTAGGTGGAGGAAAGCTGGACAATGAAAACAACTTAAGGATGAAAGATTGTCTTTATTTAGTCTACACACACAATGTTTTTCAGTGGGGTGTCATTTTTAATTCATTCCTTACAAGTTTGCTTTGATAGGTCCCATGATGATGATAAAACGTGTGCAGAAATGATTGTTTCATTAAACTGGGGAGAAAAGTTTTTCCTGTTAAAGCTCTTAGGGTAAAATAATTTCTAGACTCTTCCAGTTAAGCTAGTTTGTGTGTATTTGATTGATATAGGGCATGGGCCCTGGACTGTAGACAGCAGCTGCTATAGCCTTATTTATCTTGAGTGAAAACATTCATGCGGGCGTCTGCAGTCCTACTGCTACTAAGTGTTTATGATCTTTCAAATATCTTCTGTTTTAATCAGAAGTGTTTTTGGGCAGGCAGGATATATTTCATTGAGTTATCATGAAATATGAGGTAAAATAAGAACAGATGACCAACTTAAAAAAAATGTATTGGAAGTCTCAGTAGATTCTTTGAGTTACTCTGATATTTTATATGCAGTGTGAAAGTTTTCATGCTGTGTATGTCTGCATATTAAAAACAATAGTTATTCGGTCTATTGATCGTGTTTATATTATTGGGTTTTTGTGTATGTGTGCTAGAAATACTGTGATAACTGAACATAAAAAATCCCATGTGAGGGGCAGCTGGTGTTGGAGAATATCTGAGTATTCCCGTGGGCATTTGTTGTTATTTCTTTGCATTTTTGTTTTTATCTTGACAAATAAAATATTGCAGTATTGTATTATAATTACTGAGAAGGAAGACCTAACACCTCCAGAGTTTTGGAATGCAGTCCTGCAGTTGTTACAACTGAACTTTCATTCTTTTTCTTCCTTCCTCAGGAATATCTATCTAACCAGATCCAACTATTACAGTAATCACTAAGTCCCACTGAAAATTGTCTAAATTTTGCTGTAGGAAAATTATGAGCTTGGAACTACTCTTTAGGTGGCTTTTTTAATGGATTTATTTGAGACTACCTGCTTTTAAAAATCTAAATTTCTACAAGTTTCTGATATAAGCAGATAAAGATTCTGGTTGTGTTTATACACCTATATCTGTACTATACAAGCAAAGGTATGTTGCCACATACTTACCTGGTGCTATCCTGTTCCCATTGAAAACAGTGGCAAAAATCACATTAACTTCAGAGAAAACAGGATTGAGCTGAAAATAATAATATGTGCAAATATACAATCTCGCTTCCTCCTTGATGGCTTTCTTGGTGGTATATATGAAAAAATAAAACATTGTAAATAGATATTTTAAGAGAGAGCTGGACTATACTTCTACTATATGTGGTTGACACTTGACTGTAATTTCTGTATATAGGATTTCCTAATTACTATTTAAAAATTATATTTTTAAAAGAATACCTATTTCCAATATACTAATTAGCCATTAATGAAAACACAAGAAATACTAGAAATGAATTGATCAAATTATCTAGTTCATTGTAAAAATGTCTGCTCTTTTCAGATAACTGCATCAGAATACTCTCTTATGGTATGTCTACACTGTAATCTTAGCCTGTGCCTCCACATGTTTTTGCCCAAACCCCACTACCATCCACATGCACAACCCTCAAACAAGGGTTTATTTGCACTTTGAACCTGTGCTTGCTTGCACAGAATTAAAGCCTGAGCTTTAATACTTGGCTGGAACCCCTTTGCTGTGAGGGTGCAGACAAATACTAAATCACTCCAATACTAATAGTCTTCCATTGCCTTCCTGCTATTCAGATTCTCCCACAATTGATAGAAATGACTGGGAAAGAATGCTAGAGCATCTCAGCACACACAATCACAGGATATTCCCCCAGAGACACACAGACAAATGCAGAAAAGTGAGGATACAGTAGCACGGGTAGGGCTTTGCTGTGTCAATGCTCACACTTGGGCTAGGCTAACCTGAGTGCTCAGACCTGGGTGCCAATCACCTGGGCTAACTGTGCAGTGTCCCTACCCTAATGCCTCTGCCCTTCTCTGTTGTTTGTTTTCAGAAGATGGGAACATAGACAACTAATGCTCAATCTGCAAACTCCCTCTTGTAACAGTCTCGCTCCTATTTAGTTTATTTGTATCTGTTTTATACTTGGAGTATATTGAGCTGCACTCTCCAAGGCCTCCTACCCACTTAAAATATTCAAACATAAGCATTTTAAATGTTCTCCATTGGAGCCAAATAACTGTAAATACCTGGAAAGATACTGGAACAAATTATGAATCCGGTTTTTTTTTTTAAATGGAGATATCCTATCTCCTAGAACTGGAAGGAACCTTGAAAGGTCATTGAGTCCAGCCCCCTGCCTTCACTAGCAGGACCAAGTACTGATTTTTGCCCCAGATCCCTAAGTGGCCCCCTCAAGGATTGAATTCACAACCCTGGGTTTAGCAGGCCAATGCTCAAACCACTTTGCTATCCCTCCCTCCCAAAATGTTCAAACCTGGAGCATAATTGGTCTGAAGACAAACGCGAAGTACCTCACTTAGGAAGGAAAAATCAAATGCACAACTACAAAATGTGGAATAACTGGCTAAGTGGTAGTGCTGCTGAAAAGGATCTGAGGGTTAGAGTGGATCACAAATTGAATGAGTCAATAATGCGATGCAGTTGCTGAAAAAGCAAATGTCCTTCTGAGGTATATTAACAGGAGTGTCATGTATAAGCCTCAGCTGCAGCAGTGCCTCCAGTTTTGGCCCTCACAGCTCAAGAAAGACTTGAATAAATTGAAGAGAATTCAGAGGAGAGCAACAAAAATAAGAGGTTTGGGAAAAATAACCTATGAGGA